TTTGGGTTTGGAAAGAGCAGGGAAGAAGTCAACTTTTTGAAAAACTTAGAAAGGGTACTGATTTCTGAGAGATGTAGCATGCTTCTGCTCTCTGAAGTAGAGGCAAGACAGCAAGTCCTATGGAAGGCAAAAAAGGAGAGGCTTGAATGTAAGTTTGTTCAGCTGACTAGCAGCACTAGTCCTATGAATTTGGTTAACCCAGTTAGCTGCAGGAGGAGCTAGAATTTCTTAGCTTCGGATTGTGATTTGTTATATGCAATTATTTTATATAACGTGTTTTAAGATGTTAGACAACCATGAATTAAAATGTGTGAATATTGTCAGAGAATAATATATTGGCATTTAACTAATAAAGTGTTCATATTTAATTTTGGATAAATATAAGTATTTTTATAGTTGTTTATAACTCTTTTGCAGTTTCTTACTTTGATATTATAACTCCTTTGGTAATAAAATATTTGTCTTATATGGAATTGGGCTGTTCGATTTTTGACTGTCACCACTCCATTTTTAGGTTTTTTTCAGAGCCAGTCATTAAAAGCACAGCTGGTAATGTAACTTCCAGCTGTTGGGTACTTCCCCTCTTAAAATACCTGTTTCTTAGCTGCTTGTAACCTGGCCAGTTTAGGCAAACATTTCCATACCAGCCACCTGCCCTGAACTAAATACTTTGGGAAAGCTTTAGCTAAGCCAGTCTGTTGTTTCCTGTTTCACAGTAAACCAATATATAACAGTTTTATCTGTGCTAAAAGCATCTTTCTGCAGAACTACTCTGAGAAAATTTTGGTATTCAGAACAAACACCTGAAAAAATGGTGGGATATACTTCAAACTGTTCAGTTGACTGCAAACAGCACTTAGCCTTATGTATTTGACTGGAATAAGACTGCTGTACTGAATCCGTGAGGGAAGAGGTTAAGAGCAAAGCAAACATGTCATGCTTCCCTGCAATACACCCCTCTGTTGGGTCTGGCTGAGATGGAGTTCATTTTCCCATTGCAGCCCTCACAGTGCTGTGCTCTGCATTGGTAGCTAGAAAGATGCTGATAGCACACCATTGTTTTGGCTACTGCTGAGCAGAGCTGGCACAGCATCAGTGCTGTCTTTTGACATTTCCCCTGCCCATGAAGGGTGTGGAGGTGGGCAAGATCCTGGGAGGGGACACAACCAGGCCAGCTGATCCAAATTAGCCAAAGCGATATTCCATACCATATGGCATCAGCTCAGGTATAAAAGCCAAGGGAAGGAGGAGGGTGGGGGGGCATTTGTTATTTATGAGGTTTGCCTTCTGGAGCACCACTACAGGTGCTGAAGCCCTGCTTCCCGGGAAGTGGCTGAACATCACTTGCTGAATAAATCTTTCTTCTTTCTTTGCTTATACACATGCAAACTTTTGCTTCTGTTTTAGTAAACTGCTTTATCTCAATCCACCAGTCATTTTTCATCTTATTTTCTCTCCCTTGTCTAGCCAGGAAGGGGAGTGATAAAGTGACTTGGTGGGCACATGGCATCCAGCCAAGGTCAACTCATCACAACCCCCTCCAGCCCCCATCTATTTATGGTGACAATGAGGTAGGAGTGATAACTTTGTAAAACTGTGATTGAGACTTTCACATATTCTCTTTAGCTCTTCATGTAAGAGATTGCAACTTTAAATTCAAACACTTAAAAAATCCAAAGCCAACCCATAAATCTTTCATGTAATGGGGAAGGGAAACATTTCCGACTATCATACTGCAGATAAATGAATGTAACCCCTATTGCAAGGACTTCTCTGGAAATCCCTTCCTCTAAAGGGACAGAAAGACAACCCAGGAGACTGAGGATTCAAGTGGTCTCTGAGACTGAAGAACAGTGGTTTTGGTTTTCTTTGGAAATTTAGGAACAGTTGAAAGCCAAGATTTATTTCCTAATAACCACTTGGCAAGAAAATGGTAGTGTGAATTAAAACAAAAACACACATGCAGCATTAGCTACTACGAAATTGAAAGTTAAGTCAGCTTAAATGACTTAAGCAGCAGCCCACAACTTAAATCTTGAGGCAAATAAAGCAGTTTCAGGACTAATGTGGGGGAAAGACCAAGGGTAGATTCAGAACAGAAATTTAAACTGAGTGATTAAGAAATCATGGATTTTTTTGTGATTACTTCTCTTAATAAATATCCTGCCTGTCTGATTCTTGTTGCCAAACTTCTTGAGTCACCACTTACATGCCAACACTAACTGCTAAATGCACTGACTTGTACTCTTTGTTCTCTTCTATTTGAATCATAGAATCAGCTGGGTTGGAAGGTACCTCAGAGATCAAGTCCAACCCTTGATCCACTACCACTGCGGTTACTAGGCCATGGCACTAAGTGCCACATCCAGTCTCTTTTTAAAAATCTCCAGGGACGGAGAATCCACTACTCCCTGGGCAGCCCATTCCAATGGCTGACCACCCTCTCGGTAAAGAAATTCTTTCTAATATCTAACCTAAACCTCCCCTGGCACAACTTGAGACCCTGCCCTCTTGTCTTGCTGATAGTTGCCTGGGAAAAGAGCCCAACCCCCACCTGGCTACAACCTCCTTTCATGTAGTTGTAGAGAGTGATGAGAACCTCCTCTGGTCTCTCCTGGAATTACAAATATGGCAATAAACTGCTTTGCAGGAATGGGCAAAGGGAAAACTTGCATAGTATTATCACCACCATGCCTACCTCACTACCACTTTCATTTATGTGTTTATTTATTTATTTGGCCACAGCAAAGTAGTAATATGAGTAGAACAAAACCATGATTTAGAAATACATAGAATTTATGGGAAGCTATTGTTGCCTTAAGGTTTTTGATTTTTTTATTTTTCTGATTTTTATAAGTTTTAGAAGTAATGTAGCAAATGTAGATTTTTAGAAGCAGCTGCATTCATTCCCTCACCCTTTAGCACAGTAGCAACACAGATACCCAACCCTCTTACCCCATTCCATGTTCCCCATATCAACTCCCCCTTAAATTCCATTTGGCATATTTAGTCTTCTTTCAAGGTAGGCTTTCTTCTGTTTAAGGACATCTGCTCCCTAGCGTGAACTGCAAGATACGACCAAGAACTGGGTGACTGTATGTACTCTGTACTCCAAAGAAGACCAAGATGATGAAGAAAAGGGTCCCAGGACGACCCCAGACCCAATTCCCAAGGGGCAGGTCGGGGGTGGACCGGGGTAAAGGCCGATGGGTGGATAAAATCAGGGACTGGACAGACAGTATTATAAAATTGTAACACTGGATCAGGGAGCTGCGCACGTCTTGTAACCCCATTGCTTTAGAGGCATCATTAAACCTTCCCTCACCTTAGCTCCAAAATCAAGTTGCCTCGGAGTTTTTTTTCTCCCTGAGTTTTTTTTTAGGCATCAGTATCAAGGGAAAAAACGTAGGTATTTAAATTAGTAAAAAAAAATTTGAGCACTGTTGTTACAAGAGGTTCGGGTTTGAGACCATCTAAGGAACGTGAAGGTGCACAAGTTCATGGAACCTGTTGCGATGTATCTTGTGGGTTCTGAAGGAACTGGTAGAGGAAGCCTCTAAGTCACTATCCATCATATTTGAGAAGCTGTGGCAATTCGGTTCCCAGTATCTGGAAAAAGGGAAGCATAACTCCTTTTTTTTAAAAGGGAAATAAGGAAGACCTGGGGAATTACAGATCAATCAGTCTCACCTCAGTGTCCAGAAAGATCGTGGAGCAGATTCTCCTGGAAAGTATGCTAAGGCATATGAAAAATAAGGAGGCGACTGGCATCATGTCTGACAAATTTGGTGGCCTTCTATGACAGGGTTACAGCATTGGAACAAGATGTTCTTTAAGGCCCCTTCTAACCTAAACCATTCTATGATTTTATATAAGAAAGCAGCAAGGGATGATTAACCCGTGAGTAAGATAGGGTTGCACATTTCTAACAGCAAGAATGAAATACATGCTCTGTGGTTCATGAGAAGAAAGAATTTCTGGTGCTTAGGAAGCCAAATCAAGGAAGGCCACTGGAAGAGAACATTCAAATACCAACTTTACACCATCAAAAAAGTGTTTACAGCTGTAGCTCTTAAGCAAAAGATGCAGGAGTAAATTTCTCCTGTCTGGCTTTGCTTCCTTTCAATTCCACCTCTCTGGCTTTGTGCTGAGCAAAAGGTATGTTGGCTTTATGACACGTTTCATTCAACAGCTATTTAGGTTTTTATTGGGATTTTTTCTTCCTGCTGATTAAAATGTTCATGGTGAACCAGAATAAAGAAGAAGGCAACATCACAGTTATCATAGAATCTCATCAGTGACAACAAATTTTGCAGACTCCTGGCACATAAATGAATTTCATAAAAAATGAAGGGAAAATGTATGTGCCTTCCTCCAAAGCAGATATGGTGAATCACAGAACGTCACAGAATCATAGACAGGTTTGTAAGGGACCTTAAAGATCATCTAGTTCCATCCCCCCTGCCATGGGCAGGGATGGTACTCACTAGACCAGGTTGCTTAAAGCCCCATCCAGCCTGGCCTGGCCTTGAACACTTCCAGGGATGGGGCATCCACAACTTCTCTGGGCAACCTGTTCTGGTGCCTTACCAATCTCACAGTAAAGAACTTCCTCCTAACATTTAATCTAAATCTCTCCTCTTTCTCTTTAAAACCATTCCCCATATCCACCCAGATAATTCCATTTCCACTGAGTAGTCTACGCTTCAAATCCATCTCTCTCCAAATAAACAAAAGAGCTCAATAAGAGGAACTCACTGAGAGTAATGAAAAGAGGAATTTGTTTCTATTCATCCAAGTCTCATCTCACCAGTAAATTTAAAAACCCTATTCTTTGAAAATAACAACTAAGCGGCTCACTCCCAGCTACCAGCAGAAGACAGTGGATGGTCCTCATATCAGGTCTGGTGTACCTGAATAAGGCTGAAATTATATCACCTACCCCTACGTTTATGTCACTTAAGACAATATCGCATTTCACTACAAAAATTTGTGCATCACAAAATGTTTTATTAGCATATTTGCTTTATTGTTAACAAGTGGCAAATTAGCATTAGGTGCTGATTTACATTTATTAATTAAAACAGAACTGACACTTTAAAATAAACAAAATGTACTGAATAAAATGCAAACAAACCCAGGAATTCTGGCAAAAAACCCCCCCCGGATGGTCGCATACACAAATATTTAATGCACCGAGGGGTAAGGCAAACATAATAAATGCAACGCTGACAAAATGAATCACCTCAAACACATGAATGAACACATTGTTTAAAAACGTGGAACATCAATAAATAAACTTACAAAGATAAACATATTAAGTGTCATATGAGGGATGAACACCAAGAATTAAAGCAATCATATAAAGTAGGTGTTGTAACAGTCATAGCATATTCAGCACTCTACAAATCCCACCCAAATCCATTCATGGTTCTGCCAGAAAGCCAAACAGAAACAAAGAACTATGGTAAACCATGCACTCCTATTTAGAACTTAGGTTCAATATTCAGCTATATTAAACTGAATATTTGATTTGCTGACTCAAAGTATTATGTTCAAATTGGGGAAATGTGATTTCCCTACTGATTATTTTTGTGAAGAAAAAGCACTAATTAAAAGGAAGTTTGAAGAAGCTGTTTTCTGGCAAGATGAAGTGGAATGGGCCTAAATAGGATCCTCCAGAAATGTGCATTCTGGAATGACATAACACCAAAAAACCAAACCCAAAACAAAACAAAAAACAAACTAACGTGCAAGAGTAATCTCTTATACTGTGAATACTGCAAAGAACATATCAACCAAGTAACTACTGAATACAGTTAACAGAGTCTTTTACCTAGCACTTCTTCCAACAACACAATTAGGTCACTCAAATCTTAGTCAGCAAGTTGGAAAAAAGCCCCAACCAAACCAACCAGCAGCAAAATGATCACAAGTTGGAATAAGCTGCACTTCAAAGGCAATAAAAACTATTTTCACCAGAGTCACTAAAACCAATTTTACCAAAGATAAAAATTCTACCCTGTCATACAACCCATATAATTATTCATAGCTTAGTCAAACTGGATAGAATTAAAGTTGCAAAAAGTGCTCTTAGAAATCACAAATTTGTCAGCCAAGATTAAAAATCACTCGTAACGGATTTGTTCTCTGCCCATATACAAAGTCTGTGTGATGGAAACCAGCACTTTTTGTGAGCTTTGCAATACATAGAGAATACCACTTAATTTTATATGTAGACTAATTACATAGCCTACATTAGTGTGCACTGACACATACCTTGTTTATTAGCATTTAAATACTGCCATCATTCTTCCTTCCACTGATTTGGTAAGCACGCATCACGAAACCGCTCTCTTTGCACACGCTCTCAGTTGTGGTGGTGAACTCGGAGCTAGTAGTCTCTTGCAGATGACAGAGAACCTCCATGACACAAAAACTGGGTCAGGTCTTAAAATTTGGAGTTACCATCCTGAAAACCTGTGGGATGCGTGTCTGCACTTGAGCAGCTGCTGCTCTGGCACTGCGAGAGAGGCTCCACGCTGGAGCACCATGGAGAGCTTCCCCCGCTGCACTACCCTCCCATCCGGGGAACCCTTGGGTGGAGCTTTCCCATTCGCTCCGGGGAGTTGAAGGACTCCTGGGGAGTTCAAGGGCTCCTCGAGTCTCTTCGGCGAATTTGAAAAATTCTGCCTAAATGTTCATTTCATAGTTACAACCTGAAATAGCAGTGAAGCACCTCCCTGTGCCCACTTCCCTGCATTGCTGTGTGAGACTGATGGTATAATCATCCATATAAACACATACTTTAACTGCTGTATATTTAGGGATTCCAGTTCTGAAACTACCTAGGGTGTGAGTATCATGCATATAAATCTGTGTAGGACACATCATATAGAGATTAAGTCTTACGCTGTTTTTACTACTGAAGCTAGTATTTTTCGTAACTCCATTGCACTTCTATCAGCATAGTTCCAATGATCCTGCATTCCTGGCACTAATCACAAAAGTACAATGAGAATGCAAACTCCCTCAGGCCGAACATCAAAAACAGCCTTTTCCTCATTTCTTTAAATGGAATTTTATCTTTTTTTTTTCCTTCAATGAATGGAAGAACCTTAGTAAGCACATTAGGAAGATATAATGGCAGACAATAAAAGAAAAGTCTGCCATAGGGTCAGACAATGGTATAGGAATCATTAAAAGAATCACATCAATAAATTTCACTACAAAATAGACAGTGCATAGTTCATGTTTTTTCCTCCCATGAAAACCAAGGCATAAAGGTGTGGGGAAAACTAGGGCAAGAGGATTTGGACTTAGATCACTAATAAATTAAATTTGGGAACTCTTGACATGTGTAATATACTAAAGATTCAAAATTCAAAGTCTAACTCCCTTAACGTTTCTTTTTCTTTAAATATAACAAATTTGTTTCCCACATTCACTTCTGCAGGGGCATTCTGAAAACAAATCTGCTGTTTTCTACAAACATTTCACCAAGATGGAATTACAATAATCTGTGCTGATAACTTGTGTAATACAGGCTAGGGTCTGTAACATCAGTGACTTCAGAAATCTATGTCATTCAGTAACAAAACCACTTGATAAACAGGAAACATACTGGGCCTCTGACAGTCACTCTACAGTAGCCAACTGCACAGTCAAATATAATTTCATTTCTGCTCATATTTACTGTAGATTCAAACACACACATCCATTATCCAATGTTACTATCAACAGTCAATTATGCTTCATAGACCTTCTTTTTAAGGCCAAATTAAACTATCAGTTTTAAAAATCATTTTTTCAGTTTAGGTTAATCTCCTGTGTAGTAGTCCTTGTGATAAATCATAGAAGTGTAAATGAAGTAAATGATGTGCTACTCCAGTAATTTACTAAATGCTGCACTGAAAGCAAAGAATCACGCAAACAACTCAAAAGGCAAAAAATACACTAACTGTATAGGGATTGATTTGAAACTGGGAAACCTGCCACCTACAATTCAAAAGAGAAACAATTTGTTTTTTCTACAGTCATATTACTCCTGGAAAAGTTGAAAGGAATTAGTGCCGTATTAAACATTCCCTTTGTAGAAAGTGGTAAAACGCATTTTCCAGTGGAATCAACTGAAAATTCACCAAGTCAGAGTAGATTCACTAAATGATCAAATCTATTCTGGACTGGTATCTTTGCTGATGGACTCTCGGCTTGCAATAGTTCAGTCTGCAGATCTTTGTGGCCCAAGTCCAGGGCAACTTTTCCAAAGTAAGCTTTTCTATGCAAAGGAATGCAGAATTCCAGTTCTTCCAAGGCCAGATATGAATATGTCATAATAGAGATCCCAGAATCTAAACTACTTAGAAAATAAATTGGCCTAGTCAGTTCTAACTATCATTACAAGTCATCCATCCTACCATGCTCAACAGCCATCTTACACCAATTATAATAACACTACACTGAATTAAGGATAATTTCTAAAAATAATTTTGTATAGAAAGTGTAAGACAATCATTTAACTAATTCTAAAATATCGAGAGTTTGCGGCCTGCAATGTGACTACATCAAGACTCTTAAATCTCTCATCCTCCAAGACTGGTATGTGCTTTGAAGATATTTTTCTTCAATAATGTTTTCTTCTAAATTGGCCCCATTGATAACAATCACAGTTTTTGAGAATGCAAACAATGACCATAATACTATCATGGAACACTACATTGTATTTTTCGTAAGCTACAAAGAAATTACATGAATTCATGTTAATGGTGTTTGTGAGCTGAAAGTATTAATTTCTAACACAGTGTGGTGATTTGAAACTCCCAAGAGTTCTTGGAAGTTTCAAACCACAACACAAAAAGAGTGTATTTACTGCAGGAAAGGCACAGTTGAGTTGTTTCAGATTGTTCTTTTACGCATTATGAAGACGGTGCAAGTACTTCAAAGCAAAACTTCACAAAACAAATTACTACATTAAGATACAAAGTAAATGATTCAGCTTGTGAACCCAACAACTTTCAGAGTCTGACCCTTCTTCCACAAGAATTAATGTGAAGTCTGTTACTGATTTCAAGAGGTTGCTGTTCAGAGCCCAAGAATACATAAAATTGCAGTAAAACCCATGTCAGGTATTGACACATAAAGCTATGAAGCACAGCTACTCCACTATGCACTCATATGCAAGCTGTGCTATTTTCGCAGGAATAAGAATAAAAATAGTCACTATTTACATCAAGTTTTACTGCTATAATAACATACTTTTTTATGGAACTATTTTTTTTTGGTATTGGATACATCAAGAAGGCTGTTTTCAAAATAACAGTTCAACATTTAGGTAGGATAAACATAGACTTCATCTTTCCTTCAGGAAATGAGGGAAGAGAAAAAAAAAAAGCAGGACCTTTGGAAACAAGACAAAGACATGAAGCACGACACTTTTAGATATGCTAGTCATAGTGGAGCACAGGAGGAGGAAGACAAGTATTTCTGAACAAAAGGAACTTAATAAAATGAAGATATTTGCCCTTATAAATAGATAAAAATATTAACATGTTCTTGAAAAACAGAACATGAAAAGCCAAATCTTGCCTTTCTTCTTACATGCAAAGAAAATTCTCAGGTAGTCTTTTTACTTTGATTCTTTAAAAAGTCCTAGGAAGTAACTGGAAAGTCCAATTAGGATATTACTGTTAGAGAGTTTAAAGATCCAGACTTTTGACACTATTAATTTGGAATTTATAAGGAGTTGCTCATGTTGTTTTCACTTAGAACACAGCATCTAAGTTACTGTCACAGATGAAGGAAATACCTCCACAGAGAAACTTCTGAAGCCCAAGTTCTTCATGGCTAGTTCTCTATGGGTAAGTATTACCCTGCATATGTGATTTAAAAAAATCCTTTGTCTAGTTGGCTTTACAAAAAAAAAATAACATTGAACCACTTCTGCTACCTAGATTACTTAACACATCTTTACCTTAATTTTAAAGATTTCCAGCAGAGAGTAAAGAGTATTTCCTTGAATGGCACAGTCTTAGTAGCTACTATTTTTATATACAGTATATATATTCATTTATAAATAACTGTGTAACCAGAAGATTGCACTCAGAAAATTACAAAATGATGTTTAGACATGTTTGCAGCATGAAGTCAAACTGGCTCGAGTGCTCTAGCTTTCCATGCAACAGTACATAGCAGATGCTTCCAATTTCTCATTTTCTTTTTGCTTTTAAGGATATGTTCACACAACCATTCTTCGAATTCCACACTCACAGCAAAACTTTGCCCACTCCACTGGATACCTTGTTCCACATTCATGGCAGAACTTTGATAAGTGTACAGGTGAAATTCTTTCGCTGCTTTTTGAACTTCCTCCATTGACTGAGGATGCACAGTCTCCACTGTCACATCCAATTTTACCGTCAGACCTGAAAATTCCCAGATAAAGAACATTCTCTGTAAGTCAGTTCAGTATAACTTGATGTGAAATTATTCTAACCTCTGCAGTGAATTACAGTTATTGTTACTGTAATTTTCATGCATACACTTCCTATTTACAGTGGTATACCTTATAACTCTACCCTGGCTCCCCTATGGATCTGCAGATACCCACCTTCCCTCCAAGAAAATGAAAAATCTCAAAGTTCTAGGAGCAGGATCAAATATTTGATTCGCTAGTTACATTAACTGGAGTGTTTTAAAACTTAAAATTTAGCTTGTCAAAAAAAAAAAGCTAAAACAGCAATACAATTTTCATCCTACCCTTTGAAAGGGCAGGCAACAGACAATTTGTGTGCTTAGCATGGAGATTTCATTCAATTGCTATTGAGAGAATATGTGCCTATTTTTTCAACAGCTCCTAAGAGGTTTTTGACATTTCTAACACGGTCTTCCGTGCACATGTGAGACAGCTGATGACAAAGGTGTGCTGGTGTGCTGTGTGATGATAAATATGCAAAACATACTGAGTAACTTAAACATGCCAAATAACATTGACCATGAGTTATCTATTTGCTGCAGAGAACAATATTTTCCTCAACTTCTTTTGTAGTAAGTAATCTCCTTTAATGAAGGTTCTATTGATGACAAAATCCACAAAGTTAAAAGCTACCTTAAGTAAGTGTCTGAATTGCTAGTTTTTCTTTTGTTTGTTAGAGCACCCGTGCTCATGGTTCTTGCCACACTAGGAGGGGTTGATGTCCGGGCTTTTGCTGAGCCTCTAAAATAGAATAAATATCTGGTGATTTATATACACAAACAGAAATCCATACAAGAATATGCATTTACAAATAATATACATTAAAAAAAGGTTAAACAATCTACACATTAATTAATCGTATGAAAAGTAACTCATTTCCTACCAAGAGCAGACAAGAGCTTTGGCATGAACTTGCGTGATTTGAACTGATATGTCTTGAATCTTACAACGACAAGCTAAAGAGAACAGCAAGTCCTTTCCTGTTCATGTGTTTCACTTGCTAACCCACCAAAATACAGGCAGACCCTGCACTAGGGGTCGTTTAGTACATTTTAATGTCTACCTTGACAAATTACAAAACAATTTTTAGAATCGGCAGGGCTTTCACAGAAATAGACTGCAGGTCTTAACAGTTTAAGGATATCGTATTCTCAAGACTTTGTGACCAATATGAAGTAAGTCGCAAGACTTTTTTCTTCATACCCACAGACTTTATTTAGGATGCATGCTTCTTAGATAATGCTGTAGATCCTCTTTCTTCAAAGCATAATTATATTGGAAATATAAATAGGAGGAGAGAAAAAAAAGTGTATCCAGCTGGGCATTAGGGCCTCATTTTTAACAGCCTGTCACAGTGTTCCTAAAGTTGGCTTCAACAGTATGACCACATAGTTGCAAAAGCTATTTTTCTCAAGACTCGTGAGTTTTATGAGAAGCCAGTATACAACAAATAGCACATCCCAAACATAGAGAACATCTCACAGTTTGCTTTGATGAGTAGAGAAACATCAGAATCCCCTGAAAAATCTGAGTGGCACTAAGAAAAATAAATAGGAAGGGGCATTGTTTTAGCATTAGTGACTGAGGACAGAAGTTTTCATCATTGCTCAAAAGAATTACCATTCACTGGAATTTCTTCTTCTTTGGCAAGTGTTCAGTTACTATGACATCTTGTGCATGACCCACCAAGTTTTTCTGTTCTCATTCTTGAACAACTATGCATAAATGAAATTTAGGTGGGACTGGTTCATGTACATTTAAAAAAATTAAAACAAGACTCCATTAAAAAAGCTTAGCCATCAAGAGCCCATTCAGCAACAAAAACCCAAAAGTGAATTTTTTTTTCCCTTCCATTCAGATGAACCTAACTGTTCCTTTCAGAATTATAAACAACCTGGTCTTGGTTTGGTTTTCAAACCATATATAAGGAAATGCATTCAACTCCAGTAACTTCAAATGCAATACTGACACAGCTGAGGAACATGTAATAACTCCTGAATTATAGACATGTTGCATAAAACATTTCTTCCATCATTTCATGAGCATAGGCTAAAGATGGCTTTTCAGCTCCTTCCATCACTTAAACTAGTGGTGAAATGATCAAATGATTAAGCACAAAGGTGGAAATCAGAACTAAATTTAAGATTAAATAAAGTGAAATAATACCTAACTAAAGTATTCAAGTTTAACAAGAATGGCTTTGACATGGAACAGGTAGAGTGGAATGATCAAAGATTCTTGCTCACTGGGCAGAATGCTAACCTTCTCCATTAGTTTTCCTGCCTGCCCTCTTATTTAACAAGGAGATCCTAAGGATGGATTTACTTGAAAAAAAATACTGTGGAGACTGAAAAGCACTATGTCAGTTATATCAGAATTAAAACTTACTAAAAGTTATGTCTTTCAGAAGTTACAGAATTCCACGATAAAGGCCTAAATGTAACCTAAATTATACTGCTACAAGTATGCACAACAGTACAGATGCTAAATACTCTATCTTTGTTATTTCCTCCATCTCATTTTACAATGAGGAGAGACCTTTGCTTATAATTGAGTAAAATTCATTAGAGCTCAATAGTGGAAAGAACATATCGGACTGCTACTTTACCTGCTAAGGAAGCCAGAAAAGTATTTAAAGAAAAAAAATCAGCTGTACACACAGAAACAGTATGGATCATCATGGATCAGGGATGGTCAGACAATGACACAAAGAATAGAATTGTGTCTCAATTTCTGTTCAGACAGCTCGAAGTAGTTTAAAACAAATTTTCCAAAAATATTACTGACTCAGTTTTCTCTGTATTTTCACCTTGGGACTAACATAATCCTTTTTCAAAACTAACAGCAATAATTTCTTAAACTGAAGTCTTTTCAGGGTGTACTTTGAATCAATTGGCTTTGAACATCATGTTAGGAGTCCTAGATATCTGAAATAAATTGACATGAAAAACAGGCCACTATTCTTTCCTGTATTTTAACTGTTCAGTTTTCTAAGGTATGTACCATATACCCTCATCCCACTAGGTACTCTGAAAATTAATCTGATGCTTTAATACTAGGTGTACATTAAAGAAATTTCAGAGAAATTAGTGTCTTAAAAACATTATTTGTATTGCGCCTAGTGCAGCATTCAGTGACTGAACAAGGGAGGGGTGGGAAGAAATCAAAATTCTGAAAAGCCACATTCAAAGTGCACTGTCCAGCCTGTCTACTAAGGGAGGCAAAGTCCCATGAACAGATAAAACATCATTCATTAAAGGTTTAACAGGACATCTTCATTCCAAAATGTTTAAACATGCTTTCTGCATAATTTCTGCAGTCTTTTTTCACTAGTTTTCTAAATATACAGAAAAAAAACCCTAAATATATTTTCAGACTAGAAACTTTAATATGAGTCTTGTAATTAACTGCAATGATTCTCATTGACTGCAATGAACAGCAACCTCACCTGCTTGAATAGGAAGGCTGGACCAGATGGTCCATTGTGGTCTCTTCCAATCTTACCTGCTCTTTGATTCTGTGATTTCTGCCTTTTTTGATGAGTAAATCAATACAAGTAGCAGGCTGCCACTGTCTACATCTTTATTCAGCTCAAATCTGGACACATAATTAGCATCAGGTTTCATGTCTATTTGGTGAAAAACCTTGAAATTGCATCCTTAAGTAACAATCTGATCTCTAGAGAGAGGTCTTCCGATGAAGTCAGATATTCTTGATTATTTCAACTTTTGCCACAACAGCTTAGGTCTCTTTTGATCTGTCCCATCTCTGCTATCTACCTACTCACTTGTTTTTTTCTGTTTGGTTGGATTTTTTGTTTTGATTTTGAAAAACTATATAAATCCCTACTCTAAGTTGTATCACATGAAGTATTAATACAGCCTGACAGCAGAGGAGGCTGTGTACCACAACCACCTGGAACTCCTAAAATCTGGACATACCATTAAAGACATGTATTATCGACTTTCAATTTTAAAAGAAATAAGACTGAAGGTGACTTCTGTTCCTAAAGCAGCTCATGTCGTACATCTTATTGAATTACCACTGCTTGCAAAATAAAAATCTGAAAGAAATGTGTAAAAAGTTTGTCTTCTTCTATGCATGCATTCATGATTTGGTTGAATGTTATCATAAAATACTGATATATAAAGCTTGCTTCCTAGACAGGGTGTTTTCAGATATTCTTGACAGCTGTCACCGTAACACCCACAACAGCTCATGGTTCTGTGCAAAGTCATAAATAATTTTCTCATGATTAATGGCATGCATCCCAAAGTCCAGAAACCTCTGGCATCCACACTGCTATGTTGAGTTTAAGAATTGCTAGGAACTATCCACATTTGTTGAATGTTGTTGGCATACAACACACTGAATCATCTCTCCCGCAAGGAAGGCAGATTTAACTCACCAACTCAGTGGATACTTCAGTAAGAACAAGAGGGGTGTTATGAAGAACAGAGCAAGTGCCTATACTCTTAAAGAAATTTTCTCAAGAAAAATCAAATCACCACTGTATGGACTGGGGATATTGTAAGCAATTGTAGTAACTTGTTAAGTCAAATTTTCAACATCTTAATAATGTATTACAAAATTAAAAACTGACCTGATTTTTGGTGGTTCACAGGATTTTTAACTCTAAACAAATATGCAAAACAACAAATAAAGAAAGAAAATTTTGTTTGTCTAGAAAGAGCTTCCCCTCCTTTCACTGCTTTTTTGCTTCTTCATATAGAAACCCAAGTTCAAATGTTTTGTCCCTGTCTCAAAGATATTACAGCTTTGGTTACACCATTAAGAGATTCAGACACATTTCTACTCTTTAAAGCTTTCCATTCCATGTATGTGCCATATAATTCATTACTAATTTCTCTTTTGCAATAAGCTTTAAGGTATAGTTTATGAAAAACCAGCCTATTTGAATTTGGCATCTTGCAAATTGTATCAAAGGCTTAACTATGTTATAGTATCTATTTCCTTTTTAAAAGATCAGAATAACTGGAATACCCTTCCTTCCAAACTCAGATCTTATAAAGACTTCTGAATATTCAAAAGTCTTTACATGAGATAACTTGGACTTAACAAAAGACTTTACCTTTCATTACAAAGTCTGCCTTCCGCATGTTTTTGGACCAGATGTAGGAGAGAGATAAACATTTGACCTTAAGGGAATAAAATTACTAAAATAGTACAGTTATCAGGCTTAAATGTTTACTTCAGCTTTATATCATGCAAATCAGTTTGATCTCAGATTTAGAAAGACAGAAGTTTATCACTCTTAAGCCATAACCTCTCAGTGACAGAAGAAATCAAATCTGAGGAAAATGTGCATCCTTCCTGTCCCACCACGAAGCTGTTTACCTCTCACTGATACTAATTACATCATCTACTCATCTCCCACAGCACTCATATTGAAGACATACCGGGCAGCTCATGTCTGTCAAGGGCACACTTTTCTGCTTAAAAGGAACATTTGTGCAGAACAGATAAACCATATTGATTTGTGAAACTTACTTCTTTATAGACAAGAACTCATTTGATCTTTTGTTGTTACTTTCTGGTTTTGTATCAGTGTCATAAAACCTTTGTACATCTCTTCCAGTTCGCAGTGGTGGGCCTAACTTGTCCATCTTACTACTAAATATATAAACAAGTACTCATAAGGAGATTGCTAAATTGCTATTCAAGTTATTGCAGAAAAAAAATAAAGTACTCACAGTTAAATACCTATATTACCAAAGAAATCCCATTGACTTCAATTATCCAGCAAACAAAAGGGTTTTTCTTGCTTTAATGAGGAGAGGATTTCATAGACTTATGTCTGGATTAGGTATTCTCACAATCTGCACAATGTATGCACATTTGGTCTCCTTTAAGAATAACTTTCATGTCATACATTGCATCTAGAAAAGGGGGCTCATAATTACACATTGTAAGTTTAAAACGTTAGAAAGTAATAGATATGTAAGTACAAGACTTCTTAACCTTAAATTAGCAAGGAGTAAATTTTTTTCCTTTTTCACTTCTTTTTTTGTTCTGTAAAGGCTGAACAGAGGCAAGCCTGAAAGAAACCCAACTTTGGTTTAATAACAAAAAAACCTATGCACAATAGACAGTACTATATGCACAGGCAATACTTTAATACTTTTTTTTACTATTATGGATCACATTTCCAAACCAAAAAGAATAAATCAAAAGTAAAATTTTAAAACCATTGGAAAAAAAAGCAAGCAACCAAATAATAAAAAAACCCATCCCTCATTCATATCATCATAAGGAAAATTGTAGCTTTTCAGAAATCACAACTTATATTAGAAAAATTATAACTTCAAGTAAAGTTCTGCATTTTTATAATCTTAAATCATTAAGTAAAAGCTACAAAAATCCCATTATACCACCATTCCTACCTCAATAATGTAACCAAAGTTTCTTCTCAAAAAAAGCCTGGTAACTTAGCCTTAACTGGAAAATTATAACACTTAAAGAGTATTTTTATTTATTTTTCTGAGATTAAAGAACTATAAGGAAACAAACCAAGCAAAACTGATGGACATGTATCAGAGGCTGAAGTTTAATTCTTCTGTTTCTTATCCCTAAAGGGAAGTCGTAAGGAAAAAACAAGCAAAACCAACAAAACACACTCTCACACCCCAAGAAATAATTTCTTAAAATTATTGTGTAGTTTTCTGATTCTTGTCATACAACCTTAATAAACTACAATGCCAGGAAAATTACAATAGAGCTAATTGCTGTCAAGGAAGCATATTATTTTCAATATAGCTTCTAATACATACTAAAAAAAAAAACAAACAACAAACAAAACCCCACACAACAGCTGTTGTGTATCTGTGACACCCATATCATACTACTTTTCATACTCCTCATATTAAAAGGTACAGAACCTATAGAGCTTCCCATATAATTTATTTTTTGGGAAGTTTCTGGTGTAAATCTTGCAATCCACATTACGGATCTTACACTTCAAAGGATGTGTCCCCATAAGGAACAAAAATTCAACAGTGCTAAGAGATATTCATTCTAAAGTCAGCAAGGAACATCGGGATTTTAGTCTTGACAATTTAGCCCCAATAATGCAGGCGGCAAGATAACCTCCCCTAGAGTTTCTCTTTTCACTCCTCTTCCCAAACAGATGTTCTAGTTCAAACTAATTAACTCAGGAAATGCTTAATCAATTCCTGTTTGACTCAATAAATACTCTTTACATACTTCCCAAGGAACTCAGAAACAATATTGAGGTCTTTGACACTGCAAGACTCATACTGCAACCTAATGTGATTTTCTTAGTTATTTTTGAACCCTTAAAATATTATCAGCGTAATCTGTGAACATCAGGCACCTACAGAGTAGAATAACAAAGAAATAATGTAGAAGCAGTCATAATACTGTCAAAATAAAGACCTACAGTATTTTTTCAAACTTTCACGTTCTAATGAAAAAAACACAATCGTAAGAATCTTCTGAAAAGCAACCCAAGACAGCTCCTTACTTTTCTTCATTTCATTGAACAAAGTTCTGTAAGCTACAGTCTTAATGAAAGGAACAAGCTATTTTTAAAAGATAATGTTTTTAAAGGCTACAAAGGTGGTATGCAAAATACGTTAAGTGGAATTTAAAATTTACTGGTATTGGTTTAGTGTGCCATTCATACTGTATTTCAGCTGTAAGACAGTATTGGATGTACCACTAGCAGACATGATTCCCAGGAAGCATAACTTTGATCAGCTTAACACTAAATAATACCATTTACCCCCAAAATAAAATATAAATTACAAATTAATTTCTATAGGTTCATTTGCCTATTAAAAATATCATATAATTTTCCAAGTCTCAGTTAAAAAAAGAAACCAAACAAAACTGTTCATAAATGAAACATGCACAGAAAATGAATCTGTACAAGCAAAAGATCCCTGGCTGGCCACAAATAGTGGGGTCAAGCTCTCCTAGGCAAAACAGTTTGCATGTGGGTGCAGAGTTTGCCTGTTTGCCTAACCTTTAGATTACAAAGAACCTAGCCAATTTTTTCTCCCGAAGATCTGATTACTTCTGCCAGCTTGCTAGAATTGCCCTACCCCTCAAGAAATGTAAAACAGTGCTAACCTCTACACTATTACAAAATGCATATCAAACTTGGGTTCATAACATGATTCACTATCAAATGATAAGCCTAGTGACAATTTATGTAGAATTAATTTTCTTTTTCTCAGTTCTTCAATATCAAAAAGATGAAAACCTATTTTCACCCAAGTGACTGAAGGTTTTCCTACAGTCACATGCTACTCTTGCAATCTTACTTGATTCTCTAGCACTCAGAGATGATGCCCTTATGCTGCACTTTCATTCATACTGGAATAACTGGCTGTGTTCTTACTCTGTCCAGGCAGAAAAAGAAAACACTCACAGCAGAACTCAGCGGGCACATTCTGATCTACACATACAAAGTAAGCCTCACTGACACTAACCTAGTTTATACTGATGTTGCTGTGGTGTGCTCTCTCAGTAGTCCTTTACTCAGGGAGCAGAAGAGGAGAACTCAAATTAAAAAAACGAAACCACATGGTAAATATGACTTAAAATAAGGCAGTTCATAAAATTTGGTTTCGAACAATTTCTGTTCGAACAAAATAAAAATTTATACAAGGATATCGTGTTTGAACTTTATATGAGATGAAGTTCAAGACTCTTTCCTTTACAGAACTAAACACCTTGCACACAGCCCGTTTCAGCCTCGACCTTTAAAACCACGGCACGAGCAGCTCCCTGTGCCTGTCACGGGTGTTTCGGGCAGCATTCCAAGAGCACCACCTGAAGGGTGAGAGGGGAACTGCAGCCCACATATGTCCCTGCCCTCTAGCTGTGGGATCATCCTGCCCCTTGTCCATCCATCACAGAGAACAGGGACCACAACTCCACAGAAAGCAGCAGTGTCTAAATAAATTTCCCCCTCCAACACATATATAGTTCCTCCTTGATACTGCACAATATAATTGTAATTCCACTATTCAGCCTCTTTGCCAAATCCAGAATTAAAACAATCCAGGCAAAAATGGAAGGTTCCACAATTTAAGTAATAGATTTAAAAAAACCCAAAATGTACAGTTTTCCTTAGTGCAAACTGCAGGAGCCTGTTTTTCACAACATGACTTTGAATTTAACCTGGTCAAAAAAAATGTGCGGAGACTCTTAAATGTTTGTCAAGGAAAAAAGAGACAGTGACTGCTTAACATTCCATTTAAAGGACTGCCCTTAAGACAATCCATGTGTAACATTGCTCAGTAAATCATTTCACTGACAACTCAGAAGGAACTTAAGCCATTGTTTTTCTCCACCTTACAGCCTTCATCAATCAGATACTCATTTTTATAGGAACAAGGCTTTTTCAATCAGCAATGTTATAACTGCTAACACTTGTATGTTCTGTGTTCTCTCAGTGCTCCTTGGTGTTCCTTAAACTTCTGTAGAACTGCATCACTTTTCTTTTATCCCTTCCATAGATTTCTCTTTGAGATAGTGTAAACGGTCTACTCCTCTAGCAAAATATCAGTAACAGCCTTGATATCACACCAGCACTTACACTGAACTCTTGCAGTCTACATCTATCACTCCTTGCTGTTGTAAGTGCACTGTTTCCATTGCTTTATTTCTGCTCATTCATTGCCTCAAGACAGGAAAGGGAAGAAGGAAAACATCGCTCCTTCTGTGCTAAGAGAGAACATACTCTCACAACTGGTAGTCTGTGGTAGAACTTTCTTTTATTTCCACGAATTGCAGGAAATTATGCTTAATGCTTTCTCTTTTTTTAAGTCACTTCACGTTTACTTTATAGCTCCAACCACTTCTGCATATTCATAGATATTTTATATCTATTTTTATCACTTGACCTCCTTTGTTGTTACTTTAACTTGAGAAAATGCATCTTTGCCTTTTCCAATGTTCCTTAAACATTAACTGTATTTATAAATAAAGGATAAATTCAAATTCTGAAGCTCAGGGGAAAAAAAATAAAAAGCAAGTGAAGCAGACCACAGAGACTTCTAGAACTAGCACAACATAAATATGAAATAAAGCACAAATGACAACATTACATGGAAACTTACCCTGCCTGTGGGTTCACCACTCCCAGTGAGTTTTTATGAGCTGGTGATAACGTCTGAATTTTACTTCCACTGGATCCAGATGAAGGCAGTGCTTTATTTGAAGAGGCACCTTGCAGTTGAAGCATGCATAAAAATATAAGAAAATATAAGATTTTGCTGCTGAAATGATATAATTTATTACATATTTTTAATTGTAAAATTCAAAACAAGTTTTAGAAATATAAAGATATGAACAAGTGTTAAGATACTAGGAAAACCAAATATTTTTCCAGAAATTTAAAGAAAATATGCTATTGAGATCTGTTTTATTCTAATAAAAAATGTTGGATCTCAATTACTTTCTTCACAAAGAAAAAGGAAAGAAATGTCAAAGTATGTACAAACAGAATATATTTGGTTTTGTAGATTCAATTCAGAAAAATAAAATAATTTGACCTGCTATATAAACCAGAAGAGAATCCTCTGTGCTCAAGAATCTTTTTAGATAGATGCCAATCAGTGCCCTTTCCAAGTTTATTTTAAATGAGCTTTTACAAACCACTATTGCAAACAAACAATCAGCTTTCACTGAATAATCTGAGAACTAATATTTAGAAAGGAAACGGAAAAATTTATAACATTCATTCCATACCTACAACAGTTTTGCTAATGCCACTCGGCTGTGGTAAGCGTGACGACGGTGATGGTGTCGATCCTACAGAAGGCATCTTCTTAACAGCAGCAGGTTTGTACTGTAACAAAATACAACCTAGAAATGTAAGCAATTAAATCAAACTATCTATAAAACACAACAGGTAGTTCTTTCAGGTACTGTGGGAGAACAGGTGATTTCCTACTATGTAAACTGTTTCTGGTACGGGAACATGCAAATGGTTTCTGCCAGTCTGTTTTCTTATACATACAGATGATACCAGTAGAAGACATTCTCTAACTCAGTGGTTTTTAGTTGTTCAACAATACATCGTTCTGCATTTTTTGATTTTCTACAGATTTTATCATCTTTTTCAACAGTTGTCTCACGAGATTAAAATTATGATCTCATTACCAGTTAATTTAAAAAGACTACTCAAGGGCAGAATCATTTTTGTCTTTAAAATCCAAATCTTACATTCACCTGTGCAGTCTGGACCAGTCCCAGCACCAGTTCAGAATACAGTACAAGAATCACTAAGTAACTGCTTATGTCTGTTTAACTCTTCACAGCTTCCAGAAAAAAAGAGCATTACCACCAAATGAAAACACATATACACTTTAAATCTTCACTTTTTTCCTTAATATACCCGAAGCCCTCTAAAGCCTCTAATTACAGAAAATATTGCTGTCAGTTGTCCTGTAGCCATGTACCTCTGTTTGACTCCTTAAGGAGCAGTCTTGAATTGGATTCAGCAAACTAGCACAACAGAAATTCAACTTCCTTCATAAAAACTGCATTTCTACTTTCTGCTGCTAGCTTTACATGTCATTTTCATATTTCTGAGTTACATTTATGACTGGTTTTGGCTTTGCAACTGCTGCCATCTGATTTATGGAACTCTGTAGCTCTTGTAAGAAACCAAAAGCCTCGTCCATGCTTAGTGTTGCATTTCAGTCTAGCGCAAATAACAAAATGACATAACAAAGTAGTTAACTCCACTTAGAAGCAACACATTATTTAAAAAGCTTGGTTTGATGTTGAATGCAAGCTACGAGTTAAGAAAAATGTTGTAACTCACCTGTGTTCGAGTAGGAAGCTTCCCTTTGGTATCAGCTGCCAATTTCCCCTTATTAGTAATACGCGCAGCTTGCTCCTTACAGAAATTGATGTGTCTGTCAGCGGCGTTTTCATTAAATCTCCTCTGACAATATGGACACTGAATGTAATCTTAAAAACATAAAAATCTAACATTAATAATGTGTTTTAAAGGCGAGAGTGTTTTAAAGTCTTTTAAAGACCAGCCTCTCCCTCAGAGCAAATTATGGCTTCTTGAATCTGAAAATGAAATATGGATTGCTGGGGAAAAGAATATGTAACACAAAAGATGTTTCTCATTTGATGGATAAGAATCAGAATGGTTGAGGATCAGCAACAACCTAAACAAAATCAGAAACACTTTAAGAGGTGCTATTCTGCAGAGAAGGTAGCCAAAAAGGTATAGGGACATGGCAGGGATATCAGCTGGAAGGAAGCGGAGAAGAGATTAAACAAATAAACAAACAATAATAATAATAATTTAAAAAAATCACAAACAGTTCAGTTTGTTCAAGATACGAAAATACATTAAAGCCTTTCACACACAAATAGCAAAAGACAACAAAATCTGTTTCCTCTGGCAATTTTGAAAGACTGAGAAATACTAACTGCAATACTGGAAATTACCATTAAAAAAAAAAATCATGGACTTAACCAACCAAAAGGATCAGAAGAAATTCAGCCAAAATTAGGAGATATCTCTAGACACATGTAAAGGAGACTAACTGGTGGCTGTATTACTTTTCAAGATTAATTTCAAACAGTATTACATGCAGGAAATAGTATTACCCTCATTGGGGAAAAACAAGAAAGGCTACGCAAATATTTAAAATATTAAAAGATATAGCAACTGTATGCTGGAAATACACAACTTAAAATACAGTGCCCTTGGAAAATAAAATGTTCAGACTGCAGTTTTAGACAGATATTTTAGTGTTTAGAGATAGTGATGCTGTATTCTCCAGATTACAGTATTCAAAACCATGTAAACATCAACTTCAGAAAAGCCTGACGCCAGCAGAGCAAGTTAAATTAGGTAATTTTAGAAATGTATCATAGAAAGTTAGGAGAGATTCAACAGTCACTGCCCCCAAAATTAATTACATATTATACAAATCTAAAATAAGATTTGGATTACATGTTACTACTCCAAATGCAGTAGATCTGTCTTAAATTGTTATCCCTTTAAAAATTAATAAAAAATTTTGAGTAAGTCAAATGATGTAATGACCACCAAACCATGGACACAGGATACAGAAGGAACACAGAGAAGTAACATAATAGGAGTTTCATGGGGTAACAACAACAATTTTTTATTTATTTATTTTACATATACTCTGAGTCTTCTGACTGTAGCAAACATCAACTATACCTTAAGAGACAAAAGCTCAGACAAAAAGAACTACAGTATCTAGTCAAACCAAGAAAGTAAAAAAAAAAAAAAAATAAAAAAGTTAAAAAAGCAAAATAGGAATAAAGCAGCTATGAAAGTCCCTAGATAGCAGGACATTTCTGGCCGGTGCAGAGCTCAGTTCCTACAGAAAACTTCCAAAGCCCAGAAAAGTGTAGAGGATGAATTTCTAATTCTTAAGAATTAGAAACTGTATCTTCATCCTTTTGAAAAACAGTCAGACACCTGGCTATCTGCAAGTACTGTTCACACTGTCCAAAAGAACTTTTAGGATTCAATGTATGCTTTATAAAATAAAAACTAATCAAAGTAAGAGTGCAGTACAAATATGCAGTCAAGTTCAAGATGATTTAAGGTCCTTCTTAACATCATGAGGCTATTCCGCACTTTTGCGGAAAAAGTGTAACAGATCAAAGCAACAGTAAGTACTGCTTGTTTGTGAACTCAGAGTACTAAATTAAGTAGGAAATAGGAATACAAGGCTCTTTCCATTAAAAAGAAAAAGAATAGCTGCTTATTAGAAACAGGTGTGCAAAAGATAGAGCTGAATAGGAGAGGATGGATTCACTCCATGATACCACGCACAACATTCCCTCTCTCCTCCAGGTCTCCTTCCAAAAGAGGAAAAGAAGCAACAGTAGCTGCTCCTGCTCTGTTTGTAAGACGAGAATCCACTATCATGTTGTGCATCTTTTCATTCCTGATTTCCTCCTCCTAAGTCTTACCCACTGCAGCAGGATGAAGCCAGGAGACTAAACACAGTAAAACCTGGAAAACGTAAAATATGGAAGGAAGAGAAATACAGACACATTATCTTCCCTTTACCTCCTATCAGTTCTCAAGCAGGCTGAATAGCGTTATGTCCTTCACTTCAAACTCATTTGCAGCCTCTGGAACCAAGGGAGCACCATTTTAGTAGCTTTTTCCAAGCTAGATTTAGTTCTGGGCTTTTATACCTGTAATTCAGAACCTATATAACTAGATGATTAATGATTCTTTCCATGATCAAGCCTCATGATTCTTAGCTATTGGCTTTACTTTAAGATGTATATAGCTTTTTATATAGAATGCGGAACAATGCAACTTAACCTCTTATAGTGAATGCACAGTTACAATCCTCATACTAGACTAACACATTTCCTGTAGAGAAACAAGGTAGGGAACACTTTACATACTCACTTGACCACAGACAGGCAGAAGCAAACACATGCCTTTTTCCAATTTTCTTAATATTTCTGAAAATAGCTGATTGAGCTGATCAAATGGCTTAGCTCTGAGGATAAGAGGAAGAAATATACTCTCCAACCTATTATCACATCCTAGAAGTTACATGAAAAGTATATTTCCTTCTCACTCACATCAGATTGCTTCAACACTTTACTCAGCCTCAGTTCTGAAGGCACCCAAGGACTGCCACTCCCTTGATAATACAAATTCCACACATCTCACATACCCAAAACACAAGTACTCCCACGACATGAGGATCATATGCACATTAAGGCATACACTGCATACATGAAACTAAATGTGAATGCAGCAAGAAATGGGAGAGACTACATTTGAAGAACAGTGTTGATGTGCATTCCCACAATGTAAATACGTTGTGGACGCCAGCTAATTAAAAAGGTACTCTGCTATTTCTGAGCTGTTCCACTGTTGTGGACACAAACAAGGTATTGAAACAAGTTGTCCAGCCTATGATTGATAAGATGGTAAGCAAGCTGGAAGTTGGCCACAACCACCCTTTGACACGTTAAAAACAAAGTCATGGGCTTTGACTGCTACACAGGATGCGAGCCAGCCAGACCCACAGTCACAAACCAGCACATGCACAGAGATAATAAGGTAAGTCATCTTCAAGAACTTGTGAATATTGTATTCCAACAAATTCCTTTCCAATTCAAATTTTTACAAATTAAGTTAAAAAAAAAACCTCTAAGGAATTTGACTGTTTCACATACCAGGGTCATATGATGGCGGAGGTGGTGGAGGGAGTTTTCCACCATCTTTAAGATTAAGTCCTTTGGCTGCTCGTATAGTTGCTATAAATTCTTCATGCTTTCGTCGCCAGTTGGAAGGTTTTTTGGGTGGTTCTGGCTAAGAAGCAAAAAAGAAAGCTTTATCTGTTTGAAGTTTTTACTTCAAGCTAAGTATGTGCCTTATTTCAGTAGACAACATTATAGTTAGATTTCTTCCAGATCCTAGTTGATCTAATTATCAAGAACTGCCAGCAGAAATAAGCCTTATAATGCATATATAGTTTGCCTAAAACATTTGTATTCAGAGCAAATTATAACATACCCGTGGCTTAAGAGGTTTTACTGTGGGAATGTCAGTTCCTTCTGCTCTCTGTCGGCTGGAATCGAATGTCTTCCTTTTCTTGGCAGAAGTTTTTTGGCAAATGGGTCCATGCTTTTTCTACAAGCAGTAGCAAAATAAAAAACACAACTTAGTTTTGAAAATAGAAGTTATTAACACATTATTTCTCTCTCTCTTGATAAAACAGTCAGCAAAAAAGGCCCAACTCCTGATGAAAAAGCTCTGTTTTCACTCAAACATTTATGCCAGCTATTACCTTTAAAACAGAACTACAGGAAATCATGAATGCATATACATGGTCACAAAAACATGGGCGATGATGACAAAAAGTAGGAGGCATCTATATTTGCTCCTTGCACATAAAAAATTGATGACAGGTAGGCAGCATTTGCCTTGAGTGGCAAGACAAATCAGAGGTGCCTGAAATTCATATTCACATTTAAGGACAGACCAATTTCTATTAAAAATGGAGAACAGAGCCTTTTGAAGACAAAACACTTCATTTACTATCTGAGACTATAAACCCAGATATAAAGCTGCAGAGACAAGGATTGATTCTGTAACCCTAGAGAAGACCCTTTTAGAAGTATGTATTCAGAAAGTGATGGGATCTTAAAATAAAATTAACCTCCCTTTAAGGAGCTTTCAAACTGAGACAACTCAAATCATTAATTATTTGGGGAAAAAAAACCCAAAACCCCTACCAAAACAAAGCACCTTGATCTACTTTATTTAGCTATAGTGACCACTGTTTAACGCTCATATCAACTTATCAAATCTAAAAGCCAACGGTGCTCATACTGTTATGAACTTACCAGTGCTGCTGGGAAGAAAGTCCTTCCACAAATCTTACATGGCAACAGATCTCCAGTTTGCACTGCAACCTCACCTTAAAAAAACAACATACTTCTATAAGAAAATTTGGTTAAATTAATGATAAAACATGCTTTCAAAAATGCTAACCTCATATATACTTAGCAACAGTAACAGATGTTACTGTAAATATACATCCTTTGACCTGTGCAGAGACTAGGAAGATGAGAAAGGCAAATAAGATATAGAAGTCCTTAGGTGCTTTTGAAAGTTGTCAGGCCCAGTAACACGACACCAGCAATTCTGATAATTTACAATATGTAACTCCATACCCTTAAAAGGACACAGATATGTCAACATGCAAATGACAAATCCACTCTAAGTCCCAATAACAGCTCAAAGGCACACCAAGAATAATGATATTTCATGGTATATCTGTCCTTGGAAGAGAATCATCTGTTATAGTTTCAAACATAAGACACATCCTATCACTTATTTTTCTCTACTAAGTTAAACTATTCCACTTTCTCTTGTAAAGAAAACAGTCTTTGATGATATTTTTACTATATATTTTATTCAGATTATTACTGATGGTTTACAAAAGCATTTCTGATGTTGTTATTCAAGTACTGGTAACAAAAATGTAAATGCCATACTTGACATACAGCAGATCCACAGAACCAGACAAAAGACCAAAAAATCAAATCATCCAGGCCTATGCAAGCAAATATATTCGTATAGCATGCATTATGCAATGGAGACATGGCAGAGATGAAAACCTCCAGAGTTTCCCAATAAAAGGCATGTATTATATCTACTACTGATCAGAGGAATACAGGGATATTTTTATATCATGTATACATCAAGAAAAAGGTGTTAAGTCTGGACTGAGACTTTCTAGTTGCCCTCTCTATAGTCAACCTGACTATTACAACACAACTGCTCTATTTATACCACATTAAAGTAAAAAACACTTCGACTTGACTTGTATTTTAGGCAAAGCCATGGCTTAAACTAACCAAGTTATCAACATAGCAATGTTCAATGATTTGATCAGCTTTTGTCCCCAGTTTCCCAGTGGAAAACTTTTCCATCTGAACACATACACTTGTTGATTAAGTGTACGACCAGTCGTAAAAAAATGAATAATTTAACAAAATACTTCACAGCAAACACACAGATTCTAGGAGCCATGGGTTCCACTGAAAATCTTTTTTTCTCCCCAAAAATTAAAACTGACTGAGATTTTTGTACCAATATGTAACTATTGCCTATTTCTTTTTCAATTACTTAAAGGAAATTCATTAGCAGTATGTAACTACCTATAATGTATTAGTTGTATGCATACACTACAGAGCACAATGCATTTTAAGAATCATAATCACATGAAGTGTTGTGCAGTTTAAAACATTTATGCTTATATCTTTAATTAATATATATGCCTTTTCCATGTAGACATGAATAGGCCGTCGTTGCCATAGCATAGCAGGACTGCACTGACAGTAACCAAGTTTTAAAAATGAAAGTCCTAATCAAGCTTCCTTTTGTGCCATCTAAATGTCTGTGTTTAGATGTACACAAGTAGGGAGAAGTAAGAAAAATACAAAACATGCAGATGAATCTTGCTTTTCTTATATTCTTGCATTGAATTATACTTGAATGTTATCAAGATTTACCAGGAACTGATTTTTTAACCGTATTTTTTCAATCTCAATTTTAAACAATCATATCCAAAAATTTTTCCATAGGTCTGTTTTCCTAAATCCACAAGCAATAACATGCACACTGTTTGTACATAGCTTAGAGGGCTGGAACCTGCCCTCACCATTGACATCATCATCATCATCATCATCGCTGGGCTTTGCGAA